ATACCGGACGCTACAGTTGTCGCGTCGCGCCGCAACAGCTCTACACTGGACGCGACAAAGCGACCGTTGCAAAACATATTAACTTTGTGTCAGTACGTCATAAATAGAACGAGGCATCAGTTTAATGTCGGGTTTTGTCGCGTCGTGCCGCATCCAGTGTAGACGGCGTCACTGATTATAATGGGTTCTACTCACTGATCTATAGACCAATTCAGAGTAGACGTCACAGTTACGTCACTTGCAGCTGCGCGCGCATAGTGGTTGCAGAAAAACACTGGGAACAAGTGGAGATAAATGGGTAAAATCCATGGAATAAAAAAAATATATATATTTTTGTGCCTTTTGATGTCAAGATCAGAATGCAAATAATTTTTATAGAATACTGTCGTCAAAGACGCCATTTGAAGCTAAACGCAGCACACTATAGTGTACATTTTTCTAAAACCGCACCACTGTTCTTGTCAGTTTTTTTTAAAAATTTTATTTAGTTTTATCTCATTTCCATTTCTTCTAACATGTTGTTTCCCCCCTCCTTTGGGTTGCGTTGGTGCTTCAGAACCAACCAAACGTATGCTTTCCTTCCAAGGGTTGGCAGAGCTGGCGCACCGTGAATATCAGTCAGGAGACTTTGAGGCAGCTGAACGCCACTGTATGCAGCTGTGGAGGCAGGAGCCGGATAATACTGGCGTACTGCTGCTGCTCTCCTCTATCCACTTCCAGTGCCGCAGGCTTGACAGGTGAGATGGCCACCGTTGCTCTGTCTTCAAGGAGCACGGTCTGTGGGTCTGCTTCACTGCTTCTCTTTGGGAAGAAGGATTGGTGGTGTGGTGTGTTTGTCAGGCTGTGCTCTCAGTCCTGCCTTAAGAGGCAGTTATTATTATTTTTTTATATTGCTAATGAAGGTTGAGGCCTTCTGATTAAAATAAATTTTGTAGAGTCAACGTGAAACCAAAATGGACCCTATTTACTTGTGTAATCCATGTTCTTAGGGTTACTGTGCATATACAGTAATTCCAAAGAAAGTGATCTTTAATTTTACAAATGAATTTAACAATTTTTATGAAAGTTCACAGCCCAGTAGAAGTAGAATCTCATTATTACGGAAGTTGAGAAGTAGTGAGAACAGTTTTCCACAGCAATAACTGTAATCCATCCTCTGAATTTTTTTTTTAAATCTGTAAACATAACACTGTTTATGCAAGAATAACAATCATTTTAATTGATAGCATGCTTATTTTCTCTATAAAAATTTAAATTCCAAATAACCTGGGTCATTTCTTTAAGGGAGCAGTATAGGGGATGTGTTTGTTGCACATGGTGAAAATATGTCAGTCTCATTCTCTTTTCTAAATTTTCATTCTTAATTCTGCAGGTCTGCCCACTTTAGCACTCTGGCCATCAAGCAGAACCCCATGCTGGCTGAGGCCTATTCTAACCTGGGCAACGTTTACAAGGAACGGGGTCAACTTCAGGAGGCCATCGAGCACTACCGCCACGCGCTCCGTCTCAAACCGGACTTCATCGATGGATACATCAACCTGGCAGCAGCGTTGGTGGCAGCAGGGGACATGGAGGGAGCAGTTCAAGCATATGTGTCCGCTCTCCAGTACAATCCTGTGAGTTAAGCCTCAAAATGTCTCAGAGAATCACAGTGGTTTCACACCAGCGTTTCCCCTAGGTTTACAGCTTTTGGTTAAACCCTGGGAAACATTTTCCAACACGCGCTCTCTCTGTTCGCTGGTGGGAGTCCTCACCTGTGTGTGTGTGTGCGCTCACATGTGTCGGTGTGTGTGTGTGTGTGCGCGCGCATGTGTCGGTGTGTGTGTGTGTGTGTGTGCGCGCGCGCACATCGAGGCAGAACTCCACCGTGCATGATACAGAGAGCAGAGGAGAATTGTAAACGCCTGACCATGTAGAGACCGAAATGACATGCCGTCATGTAAATAAGATAAATAGCAAGTCTATTTAGTTTGCTTAATAAAAGAACACTACTGTTCTATAGGAAAGGTAACCTTAAATGACTTCTGTTGTGATCTGGCGCTAGGCGTGTGAGATGACGATTTTTGATCGTGGACGATAAAAATGTCTTCACAATCTGCTTTTGGAGAAATATTGTAATATCATGCTACAGCGCACATTCTATCAGTTACAGTTCTGATGCCTGATGCCGTCTCAATATACTGTACAATGCCACATGCATTCACATCAGTGTTAACTCAGCGGTAGAGTTACACTCACAGGACACTGCACTTATTCACAATCACAAAAGTACATTAATTGCTTTAAAGTCTTGCCGATTAAAAATTTCATTTGCGTGCTGTTCTGATGCGCTTTTCCAGTGCACGCGTGCACACACTAAAAGCCTGTCAAACAGCACCTGATTGTTAAGTTATGTTTTATCTTCTGCGCATGTGCGAAGAGCACCATTTTGGGGTTAGCGCGTTTTTTTTGTAGCTCAGTTCAGTCCTGTGTACGGAGCTGCTGTGGTTGAACGTGTTTGAGCAGTAAAGAGTGTTATTGCTAAGAACAGTTGTGGTTATTGAGTCAACATTGATTACTGAACTAAGTTATGTATCACATCTGATTGCGCTAATACTGTCAAAAACACACAAGGTTTACATATAAACACAGTTGCTTTTGTCTAAAATGAAAGTTAAACGGTTGAGAGCGAAACGGATGCGTGCCTGTATATTAGATGTGTGCAGCTCTTAAAGCGACAGTACTAAACATGCTGCCGCTTGTCATTAAAGGGATAGTTCACCCAAAAATTATAATTCTGTCATTATTTACTCACATGCTGTCCCAAACCTGTATTAATTTCTTTCTTGTGCTGAACACAAAAGAAGATATTTTGAAGAATGTGGGTAACCAAACAGTAGCTGGTCCACATTGAATTTAATAATATAAATTATCAAAAAGATAATGTTCAACAGAAAAAAGAAACTCATTCAGGTTTAAAACAACCTGAGAGTGAGTAAATTATGGTATAAAAATAAAACACTATGACAGAATTGACAGTAGGATGGGCGATATGGGCTTCAAAAAATATATCACGATAATTTCTGATGTTTATTGCGATAACGGTATCAATGATGATAATTTAGGGAATCCTGTTTCTTTAGAGAAAAGTATTATTTTTCCTATTTTTACCCAAAATAGGGTGTTGTGAGCATTACTGAGTAGCATGTCAATAAATTAAAATATCTTTGTTGGACAACAGGTTTGTAAACGTCTCATACACATGTAAAACTGTGTCGCACTCGTGCTACTGTAGTACATTTACTCAAGGCTCCGACCGATTTTTGTCGCACTGTACAGCCCTATCCAAACCTGTTCCAGATTGTATTAGGAGCTGCTCAATTTCACGTCCGCCTTCCTTCACGTCGCTCCACACAGTCGCACACAGAAATATGTCAACAACTAGACTTTATCGTTAGTATCGAGGGAAGACGAATTCTTATCGTGTGGAGAATTTTTACCGGTATATCGCAAACGATAAGATATCGCCCATCCCTAATTGACAGACAGATGACAGAATTATAATTTTTTGGGTGAACTGTTCTTTTAATGTTAATAAAACAACAAAACACAAAGTGAAAAATCAGTCACTGCTCTTGATTGAAGAACTTTGATACTGTTGCTTTGATACTGTTGATGTATATAGTGTTTCAGTTTTTATATTTGTTAATTCAATTTCTTGAATGCTACTGCTAAATACACCTACTGTACCTGAAAAATAAAACTATGTTTGTTTTATTTGTATTATGTTTATTTGTAATGTGTATCTTTGTTCTTATTTTTAATAACAAAGATAAAATAATGAAAAATGTTTTTATTATCTTCGCTCACTTTATCTGCCATTCTTTTTTTTATTTTATACTTTGTTACCTTGAAAGGTTTTGTTTTTAAAATAGGGAAATTTGTTTGGCTGTAATGCTCAGACAACTTGCAAAATTGTAAAACCAACATGACAAAGAATCGTGATATTTCTGAAAAAAAAAAAAATCGTGATATGATCTTTTTGCCATATCGCCCACCCCTATCTGGCGCTATATAGAAAATAAAATTAACTTGAGTTTCAAGGGGGAACAGGGGGTGCCAATTTTCTGCCTTTTGATGATATGCAATATCTCAGTGTTTTGTGTAACCATCATTGTAACCATTATTTCAAATGAGTGTAAGAAGCCTAAACAATGACTTAGACCCTTAAAAATTATAGTTATCTTGAATATGTATAATAAACAAAGGAAAAACAATATCAGGAAGTTTGCAGGGTTTTGGATCAAATCATTTAACTAGTTTGAACCTTAGTGGCCAGATAATGGGAGCACTAAAATCATCACTTGGTTCACAATGCTACTTAAGTTTAGTATCTATAACAAAATATGAAATGAGTTGTAAATATTTTGTATATCACCCAGCCCTTGTGTGTCTTGTGTGTATCAGTTGGTAATTGTTTATTTTTTCTGTCTTTTGTTACAGGATCTGTATTGTGTCCGCAGTGACTTGGGTAACCTGCTTAAAGCGCTTGGGCGCCTTGAAGAGGCAAAGGTATGTTTAAACATGTCGGCCCTTGCACGTTTACATAATGATTTTGGTTTTAAAATCATAGCTGTAGACCATAATCCCCTGTCAGACACCTAGCCATTCTTGTACTTTGGGAGTGAGTGTTAGACTTGTTTTTTATTCAGTAAGTTCTTGTCAGTGCACTCGAGTGTGCTGCTCATTTTATTTCCCCACGTCAGCACTCTTTACCGTCCTACAGGTCTAACCTGAGCATTCAGCTAGAGCAGAGTGTACCTAGAGCCACCAGGTCACCTGCATCTCACCTACCTAGTCAAAAGCATATTATCTCTCTTTTTTTATTTATTTTTTAAATTCAGCAAGGTTAAGTCCCCTTTACCCTCTTCTCACTCGCTTTTTTGTTATGTTTTGTTTTGTTCATTTGGATGGCTAGATTAGAGACATACCCCTTCTTTTTGCCCTGTCTCACTCCAATGCTGCTTTCAATCTAAACACTACTGCTTCCTGGCCCGGCCAGCCCCCACTCACCCCCACACAAAGGAAGAAAGGCTGGGCTCTTCTGTGTCTCACACCAAACGGGGGTCCTAAAACACATGCTGCAGTTTGGCATGCTTTCTTCCCTGTAGACTCTTGGAGGGATTTCGCTGGCTCGGTCTTGGAGAAATAAATGGACTGATGGAGATAGTGGTCTTTGCTGTGCAAAAAATAAGATGGCTTCTAACCCTAACCATGCATTTCGGGTCATTTGCGTTATTTAAAACAATTGATTCCCTTTAAAAGTTGAAAAGTCGTGGCCCTTTCGATGGCATTTTGGATTTACTTCCCCAGCATTAAGGTGCTCAAATAAATGCCGCCTTTCAGGCAGTGTGGCCATTTGTGGTTTCGGTGGGTCTTTGGGAGTTTGTCTTGATGTTGTAGAGAGAGTTCTCTTCCTGTTGGTTAGAAGCCCTCTTATTTGGTGCCTCAGGGGGGCGGGGTGGGGAAGAGCACGAGGGGCCCGGCGGTCCCCCACCCGCTCTGTCGCTCCTAACCCCCCGCGCGCTCGCTTAGGGCCTGTGGAGTGTGCGCGCGTCGAACTGTCTGCCTGACCCCTCAGTCAAGCCAACAGATGCTTTGCAAGGGCTCCATAGTGCATTCGAGTAGAGCCTGTATCATTTTGGCCTTGGTTTTTTTTCCCACCCAGTTCAACTTCACATCCCCCTATATTTATGGCTTACCGGGTTTGTGTTTTTCCAACACTGTGTCAGCCCTGGGCTGTGCCAGGCAGACAGATCGCTTTTTGCACTCCACTGCACGCGTCAGACACCATGATAGAGAGAGAAATATACTCGCGCGACACAAGCGATGACCTCTTTATTTCAGAGCTGTGGAGGCTTCTAGATGATTATGAAGTCTTTAACCCCCAGACTTTTTCCCATATCCATTGGAGTCAAGAAGGCAGGACAGGATAAAGCAAACAAGGTATTAAACCATGTAAACAAAGACCAAAAGAATCATCGATTACATTTCTTCCCCCTTGTATGTTATGATTATTAATATTCCCAGAGCAATGTGATCAGTTTGTTTGGGTAAGATCAAGCCAGTTGGCCTCCCTCCTTTACCTGTATTTGAAAATGTGACACGGTAATTAAAAGTTCGAACCTGTGTGTAAATCTCATCTCAAAGCCTTTCTTCACTCTCGACCCCTTGCGAACATACTCCTGTTTCTGAAAATGTACAATCCTTTCATCGCATGGGTTTAAACTGATGTTAGGTCATTTTATATTTTTTTTCCTTTTTTTTGTTTTGTTTTGTTTTACTTGTTTTGCTTTGTCAATACAAGTTTTGATATCCATATGAAATGTCTTGATTGCAAACTTTTACTAACGCTCTTGTTTTCTTATTTTGTCTCTTTTGGTTTTTCCACAACTGATATTGTTATTTAGAAGGTTTCAGGTGGGTGACACTATTCCTGCGTAGGTGCGGTCCGGTGGACAGGAACACTAGGGCAGCATCAGTCCTCTCCTCTTCCAGCTGCGGCCGCCCCCCAGACAAAGTCCAAAAATATGGTAACGGGTTTGTAACAAAACAGAAAGAAAAACACCTTAGTCCAGTGCCTGAGTTCTTCTGTCTTGTGGCTTCCTTTGAAGAACAAAAAAGCAAGAGAAAAAACCTAGTAAATTAAAGCAGAAGAAAAACGTAATGCCCAAGTAAATTAAAAAGAGATATGGATTCGATGCTGTAATCAAACGAAAGCACAGTAAGAACCCTCTAACTCTCTTACTTGTTGATTATTTTTTTTCCTATTCATTTGGATTATGATTTATTTTTTCTTCTTTATTTGTAGTTGCAGCGTTCTGCTGAGCAGATGATGCGCTGTGAGTCTACAGCGGCGCAGGGGCTGCGCAGCGACAAAACCGCGACCAAAAGACGCGCGCTTGAACCACACTCCCCCTCCCTCGACCCCCGGCTGGCGGGTTGCAGACCTGCATGCCCTCCCTGCTAGCATGGGACCCAGTGGCTGTGCAGCCTTAAACATGACACCATTGGCAATGACCATTACGTAGTATGACTACTTAACGTATTACTCTCCAACAGTTAACTCGATATGAATGGAATTGGCCGTGGGTACTCAAGTTGAAGGCCCCAAAGAGTAGAGGGTTTCATAGTTTCGTGTGCCAGTCTGGTGAGGAGTTAAATCGCTGCAGGTCTGCTGTCTGCACCCTGAGCCGGCGTTGGCGCAGGCGAATACGGGCGCTAGCGGGAACGGCGCAAGCGGCGACCACGGTGTGGGTCGCCTGCGTGGCTTTTTGCGCTCGCATTACAGGGACCTCCACCTGCACGCCGCACTTGCATTTAAGGTTGTGAATTTTACTGAGATTGTGTAATGTCAATGATCTAAAGCTGACTTGGCACTCGTGCGTTTTTGTGTTTTAGTTTTAAGTGCAACATTTTAGTTGTAAAGTTTTTTTGAAACCGCATAACTGAAGAATGTAAGTCGGAGTATAGGTGTTGGTTGGATTTGCGCAGCGTAGGAAAAGTGTGCAGCTTAGAATTTTCGCGCACGCGAGCCCATGCTGTAGGCTCACTTTTTGCATTTTGTGAGAATAGAGACTAACTCGGATTCTGTCTGCCCTTTTTGTTCTTTCTTCCTTTTTATTTGATCTTTTGGTTTCTTTACTTTTACAACCCCTCCTCTGTCTACTCTCTGTTCTTCTCTCTACCTCCTCTTCCTCCTGTTTTTTTTTTTGTTTTGTTTTTTACTGTTAACCTGTTGAAGGCTTGTTACCTGAAGGCAATTGAAACCCAGCCAAACTTTGCCGTGGCCTGGAGTAACCTGGGCTGCGTGTTCAATGCTCAGGGGGAGATCTGGCTGGCCATACATCATTTTGAGAAGGTTGGTTGCAGATGACAGTCGCACTTTGGACAGTGATGATAAATGAATGAATGAATATAATGGGCTGTTCTGTGGGTTTACAGGCAGTGACCCTGGATCCTAACTTTTTGGATGCTTACATCAACTTGGGCAATGTTCTGAAAGAGGCTCGTATCTTTGACAGGTAAACAGTTACGTCCTCTGCCATTACGTTTTGACTCAAAGCCTTTTTTCCGCCAATCTGATACATGTCGTTTTCCCCTTACAGAGCTGTTGCTGGTTATCTGCGTGCCCTCAGCCTGAGCCCTAACCATGCTGTTGTCCATGGAAACCTGGCATGTGTGTACTATGAGCAGGGATTGATTGACCTGGCCATTGATACTTACCGTCGTGCCATTGAGCTCCAGCCACACTTTCCTGATGCATACTGCAATCTCGCTAATGCACTGAAGGAGAAAGGCAGTGTAAGAACCTACATTTACGTTTTTGAATAATTCCTCTATCATGCATACCTGCTGTCTACACTCGTGTTTTCATCCCATTCAGTTGTCAGTGTTGTGCTGATTTGTAAGGCACAGCTCAAACCAAGCAGATTTCTGTTGTCAGAAGGGAATCTGTGAGACCAATTCTCCCTCGCATAAAATTCCCAACCGCATAGATTCCTATAGAAATGGCTCGAGTTTGCCTGCTAAAATTCACAGGACAACCTTTAGAATCAAGAGATGGATTGTCTGCTAACTTGCATGTTTCCTTTTAGGTTTCTGAAGCTGAAGAGTGTTACAACACTGCGCTGCGTCTGTGCCCGACTCACGCCGACTCCCTTAACAATCTGGCCAACATCAAGCGTGAGCAGGGCAACATTGAGGAAGCTGTGCAGCTCTACAGAAAAGCACTGGAGGTGAGGGGACCAGTGAAGTCCTCTAAAAATGCATATTCGTTATTATACCTGTTTTTTTAACCTGTTAAGTGAGATGTTTTCATTCATGTTTCTTAAGTTTTGGTTTTATTTCTTGGAAAGGTGTTCCCTGAATTTGCCGCTGCCCATTCAAACCTGGCCAGTGTCCTGCAGCAGCAGGGGAAACTTCAAGAAGCCCTCATGCACTATAAGGAGGCAATCAGGCATGTTCTTGTTTTTAGCTGCATTCTAAAGTCATTTTGTGTTGGTGTCTTTCAATGTCTCACTGTCTGTCTGTCTGTTTTTCAACCACTGAGCAGAATCAGCCCCACATTTGCTGATGCTTACTCTAACATGGGCAACACTCTGAAAGAGATGCAGGATGTTCAGGGGGCTCTGCAGTGCTACACTCGAGCCATTCAGATCAACCCCGCTTTTGCAGATGCTCACAGTAACTTGGCTTCAATACACAAGGTATGAATCTAGAAACTTGGAGAATGATTTCCTTTCAGTGTTAATTTGGATTCAAATTACGTCCTTCTCCCTTTGAAGGATTCTGGGAACATTCCTGAAGCGATTGCATCGTACCGCACTGCCCTGAAGCTCAAGCCAGACTTCCCTGATGCTTATTGCAACCTGGCTCACTGTCTGCAGGTATGTAGGAGTCTTAAGTGCATGTTTTCACTGCGCACTCTGGTGGGAATCTTTGTGTGACGTCATATTGTGCTCTGGTCCTCAGATTGTATGTGACTGGACCGACTATGATGAGCGCATGAAGAAGCTGGTGAGCATTGTGGCTGATCAACTGGAGAGGAACCGCCTGCCATCTGTGCATCCCCATCACAGCATGCTCTACCCCCTCTCTCACGGTTTCCGCAAGGCAATTGCAGAGAGGCATGGCAACTTGTGTCTTGATAAGGTGTGTTTATTACGTTAAACATATTTACACAGGCTCATTCTGCTCTGTTCTGCTGCATTTTCGGATTTGTAACTTGGTTTTGGTGTGAAAGTAGTTCTTATAGTCATTCCATGTATAAGCGTCAGTGTAATACTTTGCTTGTTCTATAGATCAATGCTCTTCATAAACCTGCCTATGAGCATCCAAAGGACTTGAAGGCCAGTGGAGGCCGTTTGCGTGTGGGTTACGTTAGCTCTGATTTTGGCAACCATCCCACTTCCCACCTGATGCAGTCCATCCCTGGCATGCACAACTCTGAGAAGTTCGAGGTGATGTGTCTGTAATGCAGTAGTTAATTATAGATCTTTCTGTTGAGCACATTGTGGTGAGCTGGTATATTGTTATATCATACTGTTATATTGTTCACAGGTGTTTTGCTATGCTCTCAGCCCCGATGACAGCACCAACTTCAGAGTTAAAGTCATGGCAGAGGCTCATCACTTCACTGACCTCTCACAGGTGAGTATATGTGTACATAACACGGGCTTATTTTAGGTATATCATTTTCCTTCTCCATTCAGGGGTCTGTTTTGGTTTCATCATGTGTCCTGTGTTCATAGAGCCCCTGTAACGGAAAGGCAGCAGACAGGATCCTTCAAGATGGAGTCCACATCCTGGTCAACATGAATGGTTATACTAAAGGAGCACGCAATGAGCTTTTCGCATTGCGCCCTGCACCCATTCAGGTAGGCCAGCGGTCAGGAACCTATGGCTCGCGAGCCACATCTCGCCAGATCTCACACTTTTTAACCAACAAATGATCTATTACAAAAATTAGACATCACTAGAGATCAGCAATTCCTTTGTTGTAGAGCCTACATAAGCTGATAAAATGTTTAAAATAATAAATTTTTTGTGCCGGCCAAAGTGTGTGTTCAGTGCGTGTTCAGTGCTGTTCGCGAGAGTCATGACAGCAAACCACTGACATGTCTATGGTAACGTACAGCTAATAAACTTAGATTCGTAGCTTGTTTGTGGTAGGCTAATAGCGAAAAAGATTTTTTGAACAGCAGAAAAAGTGTAAAAGTGTGTAAAAAAAAAAAAAAGTGACAGGACTGAAACATATACTTGGTTTTATTTATTTTATACTTTGAAACATTTCGCCGGTTACTTTAGCTTTATCCGCGCAGCTTTCAGCGGGTGGGGCTGTTAGCGTTATTAATAAAGGAACGTGAATGAATGAGACAGTAAAGAGCGAGACATTCTTGATATAAAAAAAACAGACAGTATTAAAAACTCAAAGCTGTGAAACAGAACTCAATCCGCTTCTGACTGGATGTTTTCTGCACGCGAGGTCTGAGTGGAACACGGACAAGCATAGTAGACTAAGTAGTAGTAGTGGCGTGCCTAAAACAGTCAAAACACGGAGTGTCAAAATGCCTTATTTTTCACTCACTCAGTCTCTTACACACATACATACACAGAGAGAGAGAGAGAGAGAGAACTCTGAAGAGAATTCATCCCCCTCAGGTTGTAAATCAACCTCACAGTAAAATATATAGCGTTTTCCACAGACTTGCACTCTATTTGTGGTGGCATATTTATGCAAATTCATTCTCTGCCAGCAGGAGGCGCTGTTGGAGTGGTAGCGAGAGAATAAAACGCGGTAGCGGTCGGTAACTCTGGTGTGATTTGAACGGGAGCGGGCGGTCTAACAATATCCCGTTCCCGACGTCCATTCAGAAAAGCATATCTGCCTTTTATTCTTATTGACCACCGGCACAGCCTGCACTCGGACTGTTATGCACGTGCTGCACGCATGCTTTCTGCGTCACACGCTTTATTTGTGGGGTCTGTGCACAGCATGTGCATAACGATGCTCAGAGCAGGCTGTACTGGTGGTAAATATACGGTAGGGCTGGGCGATATAGCTAAAAAAATGTATCAACGATATAACGTTTCATATCGTTCGGTATCGATAATTATTGACTTTTTTATAACCTTTTTTAAAACAAAACAATAGAAAAAGTTTAAATTTAACCACTGTGATTTTAATTTACCCAATTTATTGAGACATTTTTTTTTTTTAACAGTCAAACACAAAATAAAATTTAAACAAATATCTCCTTTCTTATGTGTTATATGCAGATTAAATAAGTTTTATGGAAAATTTTGGCTTGTCTCCCAAGGCCACAGGAGGGTGCAATGAGCAAAATAATGCAGCGTATTAAATTGTCAATGCAATGAAATAACTGTCCATAAAAA